ACCGGACGCATCGGCAAGATGAGCACCCCTGGGGCAGCTCGGCACTTAGGCAGAGAGTGCAGTGCACCCGCCGATCCATTAAAGGGCAGCGTGTGGGGGGCCCCAGGGCCGGGCCACGTGTCCCCGCGGTAAAAGATTCAGGAAGATCCAGAACGACTTCCGCGATCAAGTTATTTGTTTAGGATCATATAGAATCGCGGCTGGTAATTATATTAGACTGTAAATACTATTTATTTATAATGCATCGTCACATTGTGCCAGATAGCCACTGTGACGCTCACTCAAAGCCCGACGGCTACCGGCAGGAAAGCAGCTCTCCTGCCACCACGTTCCCCTCTACAATTTCAGGGTACGGAGCGACGGTCCAGGGTACGGAGCAGGGTACGGGAACCACTGGTCGAGAGGACTCTCGGTAATGGACGAGAAAAAGGCTCGATGTATCGGGCTGGTGCCGAGAGGTACCTGGCACCCAAAAAGGTTTGTTGCGTTGGGGGTTATCGATGAAAGCGACGTGGGAGACGGTGCATCGGATGCACCAAGGAAAAGTGCACGTTACAATTTATAATAACGTTACGTCTTCATACCCCCGTATCCTCTACCCCTAAGAGCAAACCAGTGAACAGTATTGTACTGCAAAGCGTGAGAGCTCATCCTTAGCAGTTCCTGGTCTCAGGGAGTATATTGTCTCATCTAGGCACCAGGAACTCTACTTAGATTCTCTGCAGCAAAGTCATTGTGCAGAAGCTGTCAGATATCGGTCTAACTACCAAACCAAAGACCTTCAGAACTCAGCTGCAAACGTCATTGTGACTAGTAGGTGTCTGAACTCTCCACAGTCCTCCCCAGGTCTAAGGAATCATTGGGATACCTTTTGGTACCGGGAAGGATATCCTAAAACATCTGTATCTACCTGCAATGAAGTTATCGTAATAGAACTTTTCACAGCTGATCTACAATCACCGATCGCATCGTACAACCCGCTATATTGTTGTTCCAGCCTTCTTCCCTCTCTTAGAAACTAGTATAGAGAGGATAGAGACATAAACTCCCTGCCGTCGAGATCCTGATATAATGTATATAAATTCTTTGTCAATGTTCCACTAATTTAATCGGATTATCTAACGCTCTCTGATGGGTCCCTCGGCAATGTTCAATTTCCCAACTGATAACACGTATCGCACGTGAACCCCGCATACATGTAATGCCCACCAATAATATCTAAAAGACGGGGAGTCGATTGGTCGGCTTGAAGTCCATCTAATATTTTTCCTACGGCGAAACTTTGACAAGTGGATTAAAGTTCAAAGTGAAAAATTTTGGGTCATTAAAAAATCCAAACGTCCTCGAAAGCTTTTAATTGAACAAAAGTTATTTGATGAGCGTCCACAAGATGACTTTCGAATGCATGTGTTATATCGGACATGAATTGGTATTGACGATAAGTCGAATCCCTTATCGTTTGCTGGACGATATAATTAAGATTCCACGTTTCTCCCGCGAGTTATCGCGAGAAATTCGAAATTTCATAAATTGCTACAATCACCAACAAATCATTATGAACGATGACACAAATCGGAAAGTGCTCTGTGTACCGAAACTTGGACGATGACTAACTGTACTGTTATCACAAAAAACACATGACAGCGTAGACACAAAGATTTACTCTATAATTGTCCAGTTATCAAAATACAAATAAATTCTATTTACCGCACGGGCAATCACTTGTTATGTTCCTGATGACAGATCTTCAAAAAAAAAAAATTTAAACACACTTCAAGACGTCAAGTGTCGCCATCTTTGTTCGGATATTTAATTGATCAAAGTGCACCTTCGATAAGAGGTTAAATTCCACGCCCCCGATCTCGACTACTCTGTCAAAGACAGCTGTACATAATAAAGTCTGATTTACATTGACCTGGAAAAATGTTATCGCGGAGCGTATCAAATTAAAAGAAAAAAAATCGAAGATAAAAAATTAAATTTTTGATCTAATGTTATTTTTGGCTATGTAGTGTGACGTATGCCGTTCATCGGCGTCGCCTAGTAATAATCCGTGGCTGCTCCCAACGTGCTGTAATCGAAGTAAAGATCCGAAGACCTAATTGTTGGGCGCCAGGTGCGGCTTTCCCGCACCACCGTCCCTCACCACGGCCGTTTTCAGGTTTCCCGGCGGCTCAGCCTCAGCGCACTGAAAATGGTAGAGGGGAACGTGGGGGCGACGAGAGAGAATTTCGGAGTCAACGGATAGGCGCACAAAATCATAAGACAGCGAGTAGGATACCGTTTCGTTTATTACCATTAAATAAACGGCGGATTTTACAATACAAATCCCGTCGCGTACAGTGTGTCCTCCAACGGCGGCTCACGACTATTCCGAGTCGTGGTTTCTAGCCTGCCCCAGACCTGTCCCTATCTCGGTGTCCCTACCGAATCCGCGAATCCCCTCGCGGCGCGATTCGCGATCCTAACAGGTCTCGTTGGAGACGAGCCTTTCCTTCCTCGGGAGTGTGCCCTCTGACGTCGGTAGCCACCTGAGGTATCCGTGTGTCGGCACCACTCCCGCTCGGCTATCCTCTCGCGCAAGATATTCTCTAAATAAGACCGCCCTCGCGGTACTTACCGAGAACTGGCTGTCCCATCAGTCCCGTACCAATTCCAAATCGTGGTGGCCGTGTCCCTTCCGCCTATCCCCGTGGTGCCGCATCCCGGCTCCACGAGGGTGTCCATCAAACACTCGGAATTTCACACACACGGCCACGCACTGGTACTAGACCATACAAAAAAACCCGGGAGCCATGGTTCTCTGCGAGAGATCCCGATAATTGCGATCCGCGATTATCCGATAGCTCCGCTATCGCCCGAGCACGGAAGAAGGACCCATTTTTCGCGGTCCGCCGGACACCCGA